CAAAATTTAATTAGCCGTGACGGACAACCTATGGCGTACGACTACGCTTGCGTTTTCGGCTGGGCGACTCACTCTCAGAAGCAATCCTATTGACGGACGCAGCTCCGATCGCAGATGTAGCTGTGGATGAGGTTGGGGCGTTCGAGTTGTCGATGTTGGTGCGGTGTGCTTCAACCCATTGGGTCGTTGCTCTGAACCACTGCCAGTACCAAACAGAGTTCTCCTGTTTCCAACACCATCGCCACACAGAAAGAGAAGATGGCGGACTGCGACTGCGCTCTCGTGTAGAGCTCATCTTGGCTACTCTGCGTATGGTAAATCCGACACAGCTGCAAAACATAAATACACAAAAGCCTACGTCAAGTTGTGGTGTTGCTAGAACTTCAGTAACGACGGTATACTGAGGGTAAGCTAAGGTGTGTTCTAGATGGTGAGATCTTGGGTGTGTTCAGAAGCCGAATCAAGAGGTATTCAGAAGGCAGTAGTCGCCAATGCCCATTCAAGAGGTATTCAGAAGGCAACGAGGACGATTCAGGGCTCGTTTGAGGTCAGAAACAGCCAAGCAACATTTCGCAACGACGACGGCGAAAGTACGAAACAGAATCAACAACACAACATGGCAGCTACTGGTGTCGCCTTTGTGTTGGGTGCGTTCAGCGTCCTGGGTGTATTCAGATGTGTATTTCTTTGGGTTACTTCAGCGGTCTGGGTGTCTTTAATCAGACTGTACTTGGAGGTCTTTAGATGTTTGGGTATATTCAGGACCAACAGTGCATGATTCCGAGTACAGGTCTGGAGTGCGTGGTGGATCTCAAGGCTCAATAGCATCACATCACCCTACTGTGCGCCGGATCATTTCGGATGGCCTGGTTCCGAATGTCGACACACCGCCTCTGCAGTAGGTACATAGACTTATCAGGCCATTGAAGGGTGCTCGGGAATACTCAGGAAATCATTCAGTGGACTTCAAGAATCTAGATCGTCTGGGTGTATTCAGTGGTAGTATTCAGCAATTCTCTTCAATGTAGCTTTTCAGAAAGAAGTGTTCATCAGTTGGGTGTGTTCATCTGTCGGGTGCGTTCACATCTCATCAATCAGGTGTATTCATCTGTTGGGTGTATTCATCAGAAGAAGTAGACTAGAAGTCCACGATCAAGGGTAAAGATCAAGGAAACTCAGGGTTTATTCATCATTCCCCCGCAGACCGGGGGTCCGGCAGCGCTTTGGCAGAATTACTACCGGGATACACACACATACCCTGTCAAGGCTGGTTGTCTCTCGTCATCTTTCACCACGAATTGGATGCACTCTTTCTCTGGCAAACTTCTCAGAATGTCTTCAGAATGACTTCAGAAAGGGTATCTTCAGAATCTACCAACATCAATTTGGGTATTCAGAAGGTTCGCTCGCTCAGATGTCTTTTTGACATCACTGCAGGTACGTCCAGGTGATCAGCCTGGATATCCTCCCATCTCAAGAGTAGCTTCGTTGGCAGTGGACTCTTGAGTGGGCCACTGCCCCCTGCACTTCGAATGGTTGCTATGTATTCAGGGAAGATCTTCCTTAGGAACAGGAATTACACACACACACGGAAACATGCCCACGCACACAAAAATCGACGAGGTTGTGATGTCATTGGTGTGATTGTCGAGAATCGGGAGTGTTCAGGTAACCTGTGCAAACAAAACTGCTTGACTCAGTTCTAGGAAGTTTTGCTAGTGTTCCTGTCCTAATTCCTGGCCATCGATGTCCGCTATTGTTGCGGCTTCCTCTACTTTTTGACTTGTTTCTCGCTAGTTCGATTGACATACCCTGCAAGATCTTGTTAAGTTTATGCTCACCCGTGCACGATCGCGCGAGACTACATCAGCCACAAGCATACCGTCTGGGAACCGAACCTGCAATCCAGCCTACAAGTACGAAACAAAAATGAAACCCCAATGTACGCCGAAGCCGGAATTGCAAATTCCCGAGCCCAGGCCCCCAAGTCAATCCTCGACAGTGCGACTCAAAACCCATGTTTTGCATGAAGAGCTCCCTGATGCTGAAGTCGATGGGAACCGCTTCGACGGTTCACTTGACATGTCATTTGTGCAAGTCCAAGGGAGACGGCTCTCGCCCCTGGAAGGTGATGACCCCAGCACCTCTTCGGTCGGTGGCCGAGCCAGTTTCTCGACGAGACTTCGTATCTGCACATTTTCGCACTTACTCATCGGCATTCAACTTCGACTGGAAGCCCGACATGAAATCTTTCACCAGCTTCTGTGGATGCTTTCGGGAGCCCCTCTGGGAGCACGTCTGATGGCACACGGCCGAGAGCTTCACGCCTTCAAAAACAAGCCCACAAATCTGCCTGCCCTCAGGGGCTGCAAAGGTGACTGTTTGTGGTTCTTTACCCGGCCCTCCATAGCCCTTCGTAGAAAAAACGCGGCCTCTGCTTGTCTTGAACTCCAGCATCTGGGCCAAATATTTGTGCGTCCGAATCTGAGTCACCTCCACTACGGCCTCGTCCTTCTTTACGAAAAACCACTTCTGCTTGCATCCTCCAGTGCTTTCACCATACACTTGGTGAATACCACTGCGCAGCTGAAACTCCACCCTGTCCACGTACTGGCCTGTGATTGCCTTGATTCTCTTGATGCAGCCCTTGGCACGTGGACCCCGATGTGAACTCGGCTCCTCGCTCTCGTCGGACAAGTCTTCCTCCTGATCGCATGCCTTTTGCGGGGCACGAAACACCCATTCTGGAACCTTAGTGTTTTGGCCGCGGTGGGTGAAGAAGCCAGGAGGACTAACTACTAAGACTATGACTGAGGAGACAAACTCTTCTTGGATGGCGTCGGGCGACCCAGCCCACGTCACGCTGGCCTGTAAATTGACGACACGCCAGCCATCCTCTGTCGCGAGACATCGCAAGCTCCAGAATATCCCCTGGCCGAACGCTCAGCAGCCCCGACCTTCGACGGGAATCCTGCGACCGAGACGAAAAAGCCTGCTTCACCACAAAAACGTTGTCGTTATCGGGAGTCACACCTGGGCCAAGCTTCTTCCTAAAAGTGCTTCCACGATCCGCATGCACTCGCAGAACCCATGTGAGAGGCGCTGCTTGGTACGTAATTTGAGGGTCGCGTCGTTTCTTGCATGGCCCCCAATCTCGTTTGCTAGAAAGCAGATCTTCCTGGGCATGGTTGGTCAAACAAGGTGATCTCGTTTCAGTATCAACGCTGCTGCTCAAGGCTCATGCGAACTTCTCCGAAGTAAAGCCAAGCCAGCCACCCTAGCAAAGACACGGTTCTCCAAAAGTCGTCTGAGACCCTCAAGTGCCCTCCCCCAGGGCCTCACAAGCCCTTCCGGTCGAACGACCAGCACGCTCCACTCCATGGAGGCGACACACAGAGACACACAGCGAAGGTAGATGAGGAGGCAAAGAAACAAGCCGCATATACGCTTCTACAGAGGCATGCATCGACGAGACGACCGGTTGCATCTCCTAGCCCTGAACGATGCGGAACATGTCTATGGCGTTGAACGACCAGTAAGTGACCGGAGGCAATCTTAAATACGTTTCACACGCAACTCTACGCTAGCATCCCTGGCAAAGCAGTTGTCTCACCTGCTTGCATCCCTCATCTCGAATGAGGGATGCAACCGATCTTCACACTTCAGAAACTTTGCCACGGGGCAGTCAGACTGCATGGCCGGAAGAAAAATCACCGGCAGCGATCTACATACATACAGAGACAGAGAGAGAGAAACAAAAACTATCAGATGTGACCTTCTTTGCGACTTGGGCTGACAGCCATGCATCAATACTGGCTATAACCCATGACCTCTGGTTCTTCCATGCAGAAATACTGCAGCCAAGGAACTGCGCTGGCGGTCGCGCAGTTCGAGCAAGCGTGCCGCCTGGCTGGACTTTCGCCGAGCAGGCGATCTCGATCGAGACCTCAATCCGAGGGCCTGAACTTCACCCGTCCGTGGCGGTGGCGGTGCCGAAGCCTTGGCCGACAACGCCAGGGCCGCCACAGGAGCCTGTGGAGGTTCAGCGGTGACGGTACCTGTGCCCGGGACGGCCTCTGCCCTAAGCTTGTTTTCCCCTGCATCCAGCACCAAATCCAGGGTGTCGCCGGGGTCCAGCAAGGCCTTGTCGCCATCACGGACCGTGTACAACGTCGTCAAGCCCATGTGGCTTCGCTCTCGGACCTTCTCCAGTAGACGTCGCACCGGCTCGTGGCCGCCAATGGGCACCCTGATGCGCTTGCTGTGCCCATCCTCGTGGCACTCAATGTCCAGCTTGAAGACTGGCTCCGCCATGCCTCTCTCTATGCCTCAACTACCGATCTGACCCATTTTCATGGATTGGCAGTGTCTCGATTCGCAACAACATGGTGGGTCGTAAACCCAAGATTCCAGGAAGCAAAACCAAGACGAAACCTACATGCCCAGACCCGTAGGCTGCGGTCTCTCGGCACCCTCAACATGCGTTTCATGTTCCGTGTCTTTGCATTGCACCTTCAGACAACCTATCCATGGTCACTACGCGCCAAGCCAGTGCATGACTTGAGACTCAGCGGCTGCGGCCTGTCGAGTTGCGAAGCCAAGGCTCAGCAGCCACAAGACCGGAGAATCCGCAGCTGGGACATGGTATGCTGCAGGTGCCTCCTCGCCGTGCTCCTCCGCCTCTGTATCCTCTGTCGTGCTTCGAAAAGAGGACGGGCCTTCGAGGCAGGAAAAGCTAGCTTGGGCGAATAAGTAATAATTGCAAGTTGCTGTGTAGGTACTCTGCAAGTCTTTGGCCTTGCACGCCTGCCGACGTCGTGGCTGCGGCTGCCGCACCGGAGGACTGTTGGTCAGGTCGCGGGGCTGCCGGTTGCGACGCCGCCGCTTCCGTCGCCGCCCGCACCGTCGCTGCGTCCGTTGCGGCCTCCCCGCAGCAGTACTCGGACCACTTGTGCTTGGCCTCAGGGGGTGCTAGAGCCAACCATAAAGAAATCAGCAGACAGCAGAAAAAGGCCAGGCCCGAGCCTCTGTGCAGGGTGGCTTCGAAGCGTTGCCTGCGTCAGCTTGGAGCATGCAGACAGTGTGCAGACACTTCGACTGCAATTTGGGAGCAGATGATCTTATCACATGGAGGATCCACGTCCTCAATTCCGCCAAAATCGTTGCCACCTCTGGCACTTGTGGCATCATTGCCCTCCAAGGTCAGGCCTACCTACCCCCAGTGAACGGTTCCGGGGCTTGCAATGCACAAGTGGAGCAGCTCCACACAGCTCCACCAGTCCAACAGCTCGCTGGCGCCTTTCAGGAGCAGCTGCGCCTCCTGGCATGCCATCGGCTCGCCTCCTCACATGCGTGCGGGACTCAGCATGGCATCCCATGCCCTTCCAGAAGGCTCCATTATATCTACGATAACCTGTAGCTGAAGCTCATATCGGAACTTTATTGCCATGCTGCCATGCTTAGGCGATGCGCAGGCTCCGACTCCGGGATTCTGCCTACGGAGCTATGCACAAGCTCCGTCTGCCCTTTCTGCAACAGCCATGGTCCTTCGATGTGCTCTGCCGCTGCATCAGGGATCAAGGACTGCCCCTCTGAGCACAGGTAGCACTTGCAGCCTCAGAAAATCCATGAAGTGGGGCAGTCTCTTTGTGCTTCAACTGCAAATTCGCTACGATACTTGTGACTCACTCCACACCAAAATTTGTCGCATCGATTTCTCCAAGTACAAGCCGATCTGTCAAAGCAAGAAGGCTTGAGAGAACTCAGAAGATGGAGCGTTCACAAAAGCTGCATTCGGCATCGACCAGGTTCTCGTGCTCTCTGCCGAGGGGCACTTGCCCTGCAACTTGCCCTGCGCATCCTCACAGGATGTCCTCAAACTGTTTCTTCGAGGGTTTAGTGCAGAAACTGTGTTTCGTGGTCTAGTTTTTACGAGTTTGAAAGGCAGGCGAAAACCGTCTCTACTACCTGCTGAACTGGATGCATCTGAGACTCTTGACAGAACCATCCTGAAGCCGACTGTAAGCATCTTCGCCTGCAGAGGTTGGGCCGACGAAGACACGACTGCACTGTGCGGTAATCTTTTTGGGCAAGCACTTCTTACTACAAGGGCACAAACAGCAACTGCTTCCCTGGACTGAAGACTGGAGCCCCCACCACCTCCGTACTTTGAACAGCTAGCTGCTCTGCTTGGTCGATGACATAGAAGACTTACAGTTTCGTCCCAGACGCACGTGAGCATCTCGCCATCGCTGGTGTATGCAATGGACTCGGCATCGAATGTCTCCCCCGCACCACCTATAGCACAGAGCTGGTCACGGCGTGCAAAGGCCCAAGCTGTGGCTGAGATGCGTGCAGATGCTGCAGTTCTGGAGCCCCACTGCCGCATCGTCATCGACCTTTTGGCTGCAGCCTTCGCTATGGCGACTTCGACGTGACTAAGCACACACTACACACACACACACACGCACGCACGCCACCGGATTTAAGGCATTGAAATTTGGAAGTCGGGGAAATATATCCTTGCTGACAATCATCTCGAAGCCATCAGGGGTCTGCAGGTAGTTGCGGCTTGCTCTTTGACATAGCTTCCGTCGAATTTCTTCGTATTGCACGTCAATACCGCTTCACATTCTGCGCCACGCTCTGCGAAACTGGCCAGGCTGCATCTTGCGGCAAGCGGAGAGTCTCGCGCGACTTCGCAAGAGATTGGCCTAAGGCAGGCACTGAACCATCGTTGATAATTATCATTCAGCTCCTTCTGCAAAGTTGCAGCTACACCACTTCACGACATGTCGGAACTATTCACCTACTCAACACCACACTGACACAATTGCCGACATCCACTAGTCAGCAGGTGCCGGAACAACGGAATCTGGCCCCGAACGAAACGAACCAAACTCGCCAGCAGAGTAGCGCGCGACCACTCCGGAGGTTGTCCTCAGGTGCCCGCGACATCCATGGGATCATCCACGCCACAACAACTGCGGCACTCCTAGGTCCTAGCTCTAGCTCTGACGCCAAAACTGGACGACTGTTCTTCTTCGTCGTGTGGATGGTAGCGCTGCAAGCGCCGTTCGGCGTGCAGGTTCAGGTCCTACAGCCGGCGCTGGGTGCGCATATCAGCACCGGCCCGCTGAGGACTGACCGCCGCCGGTGTACCCTTAGAGGGTGGCGAGGGTGCGGGCGCCTTTCCACGGAGCGCCGCCGAGGTAACCGATGGGGTTGGCGTCGCCAGGCCCGAACCCGATGCCGCCCCACTCTGCACACTGAGCGCCGCCCTGATCTCTTCCGGGTTGGGCGGGCGCCGTCCAGTCGTCGATTTGGCCGGCCTAACCAAGCCAGACGCCGACAGGGACATGGAGATCGCCGCCTCGAAGGGGTCAGCCCTGGATTCCAACAACGCCGCCGCCTTTGCTTTGGTGGAGGGGCGGATGAAAAAGTCAGCCGGAATGTCCACGCCGGATTCCGGCCCAGGCCCCGGTGTAGGCGGCGCCGATGGGATAGGCACCATTGGCGTAGGTGCTGTCGGCATCGTCATAGCCGCCGATGGTTTCGGGGATGTTGGGAAGCGGCACCTCCGCGGGGCCATTGGCACCGCCGCAACAGAAGGGCCGCCGGTGGCACGGGTATCCTCCTGGGGGATATCCACCAAGCCGCCGGTGCCACCATCACCTGTCATGACAGCCGCTGCCTGGCCCACCGCCGCGGCACCCTCTCCAACGCTGCCAGCCACCAATGGCGCAAAGCTCTTCACATCCTCCGCCGACGCGTCGGTGCGCCCCTCCTGGACCAAGTTGGCCGCCGCAGCAAAATCATTGACGTCGGCGACCTGGTCCGCCGTCAGCAGGCCCACCACGGGCGTGAAGCCCATTCGTCGAGCCGCCGCCACAGCCTCCACGAGCTGCTGAGCGATCGCCGCGGGACTGGAGTAGGCCATGACCACCGAAGGCACAGGAGGATACTAGCAATAAAAGCTTTGGACGTCGAAAGACGCGTCGAGCCAGAGTGCTAAAGGCAGCTACGCAGTTCGCAGTTGTTACTGCGCACACACGTGTGCTTCACCACATACTCACCACATCGTAGTCAAGCGGGTATTGTCTGGTTGTGCAGAACCCTCGTCCTGCGCCTCGCTGCAAGTCATCGGGCTGCCCTCGATGACCATGGCCACGGCTGTGCCTTTGCCCAGAGACAATATGTCGGTCGTCATGCTGATCCCTCATCGCTTCTCGGGTTCACGACCTCATGGACTAATCCAACAGCACTGACCTGTGCAGCCTGTGCACCGTCATCTCAACAGTCAAGACACTATTCAGGTCTCCGAATCCTGCGCACAATTCGCAGCTCCAGTTGTCTGTCCGGTCCGAAGGTCCAGATTTGCCGTCGTTCCCGCTGCCTTGAATGGGCGAAAGAGTCATCTAGTCTGCAAGACGGCCCGATAGGCCGCATCAAGACTGCAACTGCCAAACTTCTCTGCCATCAAAGACATTCACAACTCACAACTCTTCGGGGCCTGCAGTGGGTCTCCGAATATGGCAATCACGAGCAAACCCTTAATTAGAGTTCGCACTGCATGATGGATACTTGCGGTAGGAGGCAGCAAGACTCCAAGACCATCAGAAGCCTAAACGTACCCGCAAAGAATACCTCCGACTGCGATTGGAGGCACGTGCACAGCAGTCGGCATACTCTTCTGCTGCCTCTTGGCATGTCAGTCTGGATCCACCTTTGCAGGTTCGATTCAACATGCTGACACCAGGCGCTCCATAAAAGGGTGGTTCTGAAAGGCTGACGAGCGACCCGCCCGAATCTGATCCAGCGCAAATTGGCAAGAGAAAGGCTTACCATCCTGGCCCGGCAATGAAGTCTCGACATTCGCATCAAAATTGCTGGATTGGTCTGAACAGCGTCGGCTGGAGAGCCGGCACGCAGTCGGACAAGCTTCTGCCTACCTTGCTTGGAAAGCGGCCCACGGCCACGGTCACGCAAAGCTCCAAAGCCCAATGTCTGGCTAGGCCTCCATGAAGGCAGTCGCCTCTGGCAAAAATTCGCCGCCGCCAGAGCAGAGGTTGCAAATTTCCTGTTCCACAGAAGCTTCCAAAGGCAGAATGAAGAATTGGATGAATTGTAAAGCCGTCTTGGTTTAGAAAGCTCTGTAAACGGGACCCTGATGCTCCGGCCATTAAAGACGGCCGTGCTTGATTCATGCTTCCAGGGCTAGTGTGGAGTGCACGGCCGCTGAGATCACCTGTACCTACTATGCAGCCATGCGTCTTCCAACGGGCCGTGAGAAGAAGGAGCATCCTCCTGTGTTGGTTTACGGCAGGATCGCAACTTGCACTGCTTGCATGCGATGTCCCGCGACGTGGATTTCAGTTTCTGTGTCAAGGGTTGGGGAGTAGCCGCAGTTCCCTCCGACTGTCCACGACTTCATTTAATTCTCCGCCCGGAGTCTTGCACAAATGCGAAACAAATACAGGAACGAAAATCAACAATAGACATGCTGCTGCCTGGTTAGGGATGTGCTGCAAACTTGGCCTACGGTGGAATACGGCTCTGGCCTGGCACAGTGGACTGCCTTTGTGGCCTCGGCTGACAACGCACGGACTTCAAACTGGTACAAGTACCCTGCTTGATGCATTATCTACACGAGTGATGCCGGAACTGTACGTCAGCGTTCAAACCCGTTTCACCAGCTCAAGGCATGACATCTCAGAATTCGAAACCGCTCCGTCGTGCGAACGAGGTGGGTGTGCCCTTGGACACCTTTCAACATGCAGACAAGGGGCAGATTTGCTTGGAGTCTACTCCACAGTTTTGAGCCTCCGGGTCCTGCAGCGCCGCTTCTCAGAAGAGATTCAACTTTTTCAGCTCACGACTGGACGGCCACGGGCCCTACATCCCGAAGGTCCGAGAGAGACGCCCCGGCAGCTTGCAGTGAGCACGGCCTTGGCAGGCGTGCTCAGCTGCAAGGCCCCTCGACTGGCCAGAGCCCGCCTCCGGCTGCCATCGTCCAGGGTCTCATAGAAGGCCGAGCTTGCACCTTGACGTGCAGCACAAGCTGGACAATGAAATGGTGATTGGCAAGCAACCTCACCATAAGGTTTCAGATATACAGCCAGGCAGCACTCCTCCTGACATGCATCTGAAAGGGCTCGTGCCAGTTAACACAGCTTTTGGACGAATGCAAACTGCCCCTGTTTGAAATCCCGGTCGCTCGACAGGTCGGAGCATTTCTTGGAAATCGAGGTGATCTCGGCGGATACAGCAGAGTTCAGCTTCTCACTCTGACTCTGCTGGCACTGCTCAACTTGATCTGCCAAGGGGCATCGACGGCATGGCAAAGACTCTTGCACACGCCGTCATCGTCCTCGTCCTGCTTTCTCTTTTGCTTTGAGAGAGAAAACTTGCAGCACCCGACTCTGCCTGCACGAAGATGTCACCACGACTTCCCACGGAGGCGCTTCGAGGCACCTCGACTGCACAAGGGAGGTCTTGGGCCTTGGTGCCTAGGGCGACTCTTTCAAACGGAAGCCAAACAACCGGGTAGTTGTGCGGACCAGCGCCGACCCAGCAATCAACAATTACACACAAGGGAAGTCGAGGTGAAACAGCAGCAGACAGTGTCCGAAATCATCCCGCTGATTTCTGCTTCTCTCAGGCCCTCGAGCGACACTAGCCTTATGACTTAATGTTAACGCCGGGGCACCGGGGAGACAAGCCTATGAGGCCAGCGCCGCTGGTCAGAGTGCCCAGTGCCAGAATCTGGGCCGCAACTCGTAGGAATCCCGAAACTGGTTGTGTAGCGTGCTTGGGGTCTATGTTTGGATGGGCCAGGGCTTGTTGACCGCCAGTTGCCTCTTGCAGCTGTTCTCCATTTGGGGCGCGAGTGGGAGATCTGGTGGGTAGCTACAAGGCTGCGTGGGCTTCTTCGGGGGCCTCAGCAGGGACTTGAATCTTGAAGGTCGTACCCCTTCAAACCGCAGCCGGTCTCAGCCGCCGGCTCAGCTCGGCCTCGCCAGGCTCTGGTGCCATGCCTCGAGGCACACAGCGTCAGAATGTGTAGTCATAGGATATCACAGGATGTCCAGGGACATGGACGCATAGGCTCTCTGCTTCCGAGCTGCTGTGCTGAAGTGGCTCACGCCGCATTTGGGGTCGGTGATGTGCCTGGAGGCATTGTAGAGTCATGGGTCTTGCCGGGTCTACCTGAAGCTCAAAAGTCCCGGAATCATTAAGGAGCCTCCCGTGCATCTCCTGAAGCTTCAGGCAAAAGCACGGTCACTAGGGCGAGGCACCTTGCTGCACCGGCAACTGTTGGGCGCATCTCTTTTGGGCAGCCAGTGATTGATAAGACGTAAGCAGACGTATTCTGGTGATCTGGGTCAGCAACCAGACCGCAAACGGCGGCATGGTGGCACCGTTCCTGGCAGGAGACTGGGAGTGATGCGAGTTGTGTTCGCTGCCTGCTTGGCTCTGCACTTTTCTGAAATCAGGCTTTGACTTCTCAGGCGGCCCCCTGGGCAACCGTTAACTCTGCAGCCTGCCTCATAACATATGGACGGCTTTCACAAGCAAAGGTGCGGGTTGCGTCCCATGGCTGCACGCTGACATTGAACAATGTACTTGCGTGCTTGAGCCATGCAGAAGCCCACACAAGAACACGATGGGCGCTGGAGTGTAGAGGCACGCCGCCATTCAGACATGCTGCGGGGCCGAAGCCAATGCCAGTCTCTAAGACTCAAAGAGCAATCCCGCATGCACTCAGCGACACACATCGACGGCTGTGAAGGACGTGTGGTTCAACAGAACCCGGAGAACCTGCTCCGAGCAGCAAATACTGGGGAGAAAGAACGGAATCATACGGACTGCGATCATGGCGGTCATCCACAGTGCTACAGGTCATTGCATGTATGGTACCACTGTCTGATATTTTCTGATGGCTCCAATTCGAAAACGAGTTCTGCCCACATCTTGAAAAGTCTCGATTAACCATATACACAGTCAAAGGCTGGACCGCTGTGCCCCAGTGCCTTCGACAAAAACCGGCCTTCTTACATGCTTGCAGCAATCGGTCCTATTCGCCTCGGCGTGACCGTACTCGGCTGCCAGATGCAACCTTGCAGTCTTGTGACCCTACCAAGCAACAATCTTGTAGGGCCCTGGAGGAAACTCAGTGAGAGGCGCTGTGCGGCCATGCAGCGCGCGCCTGCAGGTTCCAAAGTCTGAGCATCTTGGAAAGATTCTGATCTGCGCTGGCAAAAAAGGAGGGAGGCTCCGCATCAAAACCTCTTGTTGCTTATTCTCAGCAGGCGTCAGAGCAAGTCCTGAAAGCGCTCCACATAAAACTTACATCAACCACGTGCAACCTGTTCAAATACCACAAGCGGCTACAGGCAGCATGAAGGGTAAACGACTGCATTTCACGTCATCGATTTGGCAACTCGTCCGCCCAAGAAGGTTCGCACCAGGACAGGTCTCCAAGAAAGACACAAAAGAGCGGCAAAACCGTAAGCTTGCACTCACGTCATCGTGTATTCACATGGAAGCATGATTCGGGAGGCAGACTTGAAAGACACGCGTGCGTACACGCACCCGCATGGGTCGTGTGGATGATTTTGTGTTACGTGAGTGTTACATGGCCTACTCCAGGCACTGCGCATGCCGGCAGAGACCTGTTCATCTGTTTGGAGGGACTGCAACTGAGACAACCTCGGGCTATACCTGGATGGAGGAGGTTATTCACAACAAGAAGAAAGCATGACAAAAGAAATTCCAAAACTTTCTCGCACCATGCATGCTAGAAGCACGGTTGGTGGTAGCGAAGAAACCAAAATAGGCTCTTGGCAAGATTCCACCAAACGGCCTTCCCTTTTGTGCAGTGCAACCATATCGGCTGAAGAAATACGAATGCAGTTGAACGCTGCGGCATGCCCTGGTCGGCCAAAACGGTTATTCAGAATTCAAAACCAGTCCACACTGCGCACAGAGTAATTTGGTGGACCTGCACTGCATTACCTGTATGAACTGGCTCCAAGCGGGCCTGTCTGCATCGTGAAAGCACGGAGCCTCAGCCATCACGTCACCATCGACAGCGCCATCGCTCACAAAGCACACAAGGGAGTCAGTCAAAGGCAGCTGAGGTGTGCGCATCGAGCAACTGCTGGCATGCTTCGACACAACCAGCCTCACGGCAGATCAAACTGCCCTTTTTCCAAGATGACCAGAGTCTCGGCTTCAATGGTTCAGATAGTGGACGTCACGGCATCTTGCCGATGAGAATCACTGCTGCCCTTGTGTAAGCAACCGGCAAGTGCAGAATGATGGAGGGCAGTCCGCATGTGCAGATCCCTGGCTCAACGTGTCTGGCTTGCAGAATCAGAAGCTCAGAAACTCGACACATCCGGATGGCATGACCCGCTTAGGTTAGATACTTCAACTCTTGTGAACCCACTGACGGGACTGGAGCAGGAGTCCAAGCGCGATCGACTAGCCACAAAACCAAACAAGACAACCACGACCAGGATCACAAGGGTCCATGGGAACATGCAGTGTCATCCTGCTTGCCATAGCATCAAGGCTTCAATAGTATTCTTGGCAACGCTATGTACTTCACTATTGCAACAGTGCCTTGCAGAGGCAAGCTGTGCACCGCCTTTCTCGAGCCTGAGCGGGGATCTGGCAGCCCAACAGGAATAACAACAGTACAAATAATCATATATATATATATGTACACCTATCTGTGCAAAGGTATGTGTGTATGTGTGTGTGTGTGCATGCATGCATGCATGCATGAGGCTGTGTGTGTCTATATATATATATATACATACACGCATATCTAAGATTTAGAGTACATGCATATGACTTAGACATATGTGCTTTACATGAATATGTAAACATACAGATACGTGCAGATATGCATACATACAGGCCCACGTCACATACTTAGATACATGCGTACATTCACCCATCCGCCCACCCATCCATCCGTCCAAGCATGCATGCCTGTCCCCATATACAGCACACACACAATATTCAATAGTCTTTATGTATACACACACACAGGTCGATTGAAGGCCTGGCATCTTGTTCCCGCTGCAATTCTAGCAGAACGAGAGGCTGTGTTGACCCAAGCTTCGATGCTCGCCGGTGACTGATATCTGCTTTGGCTTCAGACAACTTGTTGGCCAAGGCACAAAACCCCCCGCACTTTCACCAGTCCTGAAGTGCAAATGGTGTGCAAGGCACATTGAAGAAACGCCATCGACCGTTCCTAGCAACAATGTTGACAGTCCTGGCAGCGCAGATGCCCTGTGAAGTGCTGTGCAGCCTTCCTCGCAGTTGGGTTGCCAAGGACATCAAACTCAACTTCAGATAACTAAGATGTGCGACGACGACTTCCTACCCCGTCTGAAAAGACATTTGACATGCGAGCCAACCATTCCAAACCCATCGCTCTAGCCAACCGGTGATTCGCGATATGCCTCTGCTGCACTTCACCGGCCCGCGAAGAACAGAACGAATTATGATGAGCATGCGATAGCTTCGGGAAGACCGTCGGGCGGTGGCAATCTGCATAAGTAGCCACACCCAGAGTGCTGACAGATTAAACAAACCAAGGACCTTGAATCGAAGGCACGGCCCTGAAGCGCCTGGTCTTGAGCATGAAGCTGCTGTGCTGCGGCGCTTCGCAGGAGCGCCAAGGCCCTGACCATGCTTTGGCTTCTGGAATCGCTTTGAGGCTACTTATGCTTAGCCTCTCTATGAAAGTTCGGGTCTCAATTTTTCGAAGAGGGGTCAAACGCCTCGCAGGATCCTCAGAGAGAACGGCCGCAAACAGCGGATTGTCGTCCAGCCTCGGGCAGGTCTAAAGACTTCCAAAACTGTTCCCTTGCGGGCAGAACTGGGAGGCGAGCCCTGTGATGTTCAGCTCAGCAGTCAAGTCGTCGGCCTCCTGGCCCGCGTCCTGGCTGGCCCGCTTTGACTCTGCCTCAGGTCCAGGCGTCCGAAGCTCAGAGAGGTCGCAGTGCTATAGGAACCTCGACGCCGTCACTGGATTGCCGAGGTGACCGTGCCGCAGCTACCTTGAGCTCACAAAAAGCCCACACCGATACCCTTTACCCGAGAGCTCCAGGGGCCCTGTTCTCGCTCTCCAAGCGCGGGGCCGTAGCCGACGAGAACTCCTCTCGGCTCACCTCCGACCACGCCCGAGATGTGCCACAGGCGATGTCTCTCATGAGAGATGCTGTCCGGACGCTGCAGCCCAAAAGGCATCACGACCGAATCCGAAACTCCTGGTTCTGGGCGACTGGCTCGGCCGTCCATGTCGGCATCTAACTTCTCGAAGACTTCCGCCTGCCACCAAAAACACAAAGTGCTGCAAGAGCCTGAATTAGAGGACTCCTAATGTGACACAGCATGCCACCAGAGATGATTTCGACAGTCGCGCACCCCGGCGAGCATCCCACAAGCAGTGCATCCACCGACCCAGGAACTGCACAGGCCTTCCACTGCCCGTCTGTGACCTGCCAAGAGCACACATACGTGTCACCAACACTTTACCACATGCCAGCCGACACCTCCGAAAAGTCGTGGCTGAGCTCGTAGGGTCAAATTCCCGCGGCTTAGGAGAAATTGGAAATCTCTTATTTAGCTTTTGCATGTCGGAGTGAATTCCACAATCAGTTGGAGAGTCAAAACCAGAGGTGCAGCTGTTTCGACGAGTTCCGGTATGCGTCTGGGCTGCCGGGCTGCGGTTCCCTTGAAGCGTTGGGGCTCTCTGTATTTCAAAGTGAATTCCAGAGTGGGTTCCGGAATGAGTTCCGGGGTGAGTTTCGGGCTGTCGGGCTGCCGGGGCCACCCTTCCTGGAGACTTGTTTATTTCAGGGTGAGTTCCGGGTGAGTTCCGGAACTCACTTTGGAACTCACCTGCCAGCGGAAACTCACTGAACTCACTCCGTTGCCCAGCCAGTCTCTACTCACTTCGGAACTCAGTTCCGAAATCGACGCACTTGGGAATTCACCTTCCAACTCACTTCGAAAGTCACAGAGAAGTGCAGAATACGTGGTTTAAGTTTCCTGTCTGCGATACTTGTAATCGCAGGGGCTTATCCGCGAGACCCTGCTGTGCCTTGGGTTATTGCGGGCTCGCTACGATGCAGGTCCCCCGTATGCCCTTCTCCCGAGGGCCGCGATTCCGAGAAGCCTTGGCCGCATGGAACTCCTGCAGACTGACGTCGCCGTCTCCATTCGTGTCCAGCTGTGCGAAGAGTGCTGCCTCAGGGCAGTTCGCACAGGGCAAAAACAAATTGTGCTCCTTGACATTCATGCCAATATAAGGTCCCAGAATCCATGGGTTCGAAGGTTCGTTCAACTTGGGCTTGGACAGTGTCGCGAACTACGAAGTATTTCGCAGACCCTCCTGTGTGGAGCTTGGGGCTTGGAGCCTAGGTTCTGTTGGCGAGGCACGCGGATTCACTGAGCAGCTGACATTTCGGCCCTCCGGGGACGTGAGTCCACCCTGCAAGAACTCGGCTGCACTCACTACGTCTTAAGCCTGTTCAGCCAGTTGGGAAGTTCGTGACAGTGCCTTAGAGTAACGCCTAGCATGGCTATGAAGAAGAAATGAGACTGAAACTGCATTTATCGCGGAAGCGTTGCCAGCTGCTTGAGTGTGCTTCTTTGACCTGCTCCCAAATGCTCCCACATGATGCTTGTAAGACCCGCACAAGACAACCGTTCGCAACTGTCAACAACGCCAACTCTCATACGACGCTCTGACGGCAGCGTGCCATTGCCGCATCGTTTGGACTGCTGGGAGACATTGCCCGGGAGTCCTGCAGGCGACTCTCCAGATCCAAGCTGAAGCTCAACTAAAGCATCCAAAGCCTTTCACAGCTCATACATGATGTATTGAAGTTGGCTGGCTACCTGTATCCCAGTAATACTACACCCCAAATACAATGTATACCAGGCTCTTCTAAGTCCTGCAGGAGCCCTGCAAAAAAAAAAAAAAAACATCCCAGCAAGAACCCAAGCTCCCCTCCGGTGATGCAGCTTGAGATGTCATGTTTGTGGCCTAAGCCCGTCTGGAAACTTCTGGGGCCCCGGACCCGGCCCTGCACGCTGGGAGATAGCGACTTCCTAGGCAAGCACACTCTTGAAGCTTTGCTTCTTTGCAACTTCCTGCTCTATGACTCCATGCTTGCAAGGACGACAGCCTCAAGAGCCCTTATAGGGCAAAAAATGCCAAGCAGAGTTAATACAGCTCGTGCGTTATTGCGCGCATGCTCGGCAGGGTGGACGCACGCATGCAAACGCACTCGGCTGCCGAAAGGCAGAGACAAGTGCAGTGCATGGTCATAGTGCTTGGATCAGGTAGACACCCTAAACGTGCGTAGACAACAAATGCACTTGCCATGGATACAATCCTGCTAGGTCGACGCACACCTGTGTACACACAAACAACCACAATGCCGCCATTCGTGCAATTGCCCCTTAAGGGAGGGGTGCCTGGACGGGAGAGGAGGGGAAGGGGGCCACTCCCTCGTCTCTCTCTTGCGTGGTGGCCCGTGTTTAAGTATTGTTAAGCACCTAAACGCGATTTTGACGACGACTGAAGTGAACTGGTAAAGGATAACTCCCACAAGCTCCACAGAGCTAGCACGGAATCCTTCGCGGCCAAGCGGCACTCCGTCCTCAGCTCCGCTCCTCGCTTGTTTGGAGCGGTAGACAAGGACACTCGAGGGAGTGATGTGGCGACCAGGCATCAACCCGCACCCTGTTTGGACGAGACGATGACTCGAGTCATCAGGCAGACCCCCAGCACGTGTCAGCGAGGACGGTACGGACCAGATTGTGATTCTCCAGAACTGATTCTTGCCTGCGAGCACAAGACAACCCCGAACACTGCGAAAGGATTCGCCGAGCGTCGCCAGGTCCAGGCCCAGACCTTGCAAAAAGCCCCCCAACGCTGAGCGTCTCTGCAAGTGCACACACAGAATTTCGTGCGTTGATCCAAGGCTCGGACTTTCGCTGATCGCCTGGCAAATGAGCACTTGGGGGTGCAGCATCACTGCAAAGGCCTGCAGCTCGATAGTCTCGCTTGACATCTGCCCAAGTCGGGCCAACCTTTTCGCAGAGAATGCGGACTCCCCAACTCCGGCCTCCACGGCATCTCGAAGCCAGCGCGTGTCCTCCTCGACGGCATCACAAAGCTTGCGATGGTCCCTTTCCACGACCTGTCCGTTCAACTCGGATATATTTGGACGAACTAGCCAAAGATCTGACACTTTCTAGGCAGGGACCTGCAGACGCGGCAGTACCCGAGTTTCCTCAGTCAAGCTTAGCGCTGCCACGAACCACCCCATCCCACTCTCTTCCGCTTCCAAACAGGACCCTGGGGCCAATGCCTGCATGGCTGTCAGGACGGCACTTTCCAGCTCTGCTTTCACCTCAAGTTCCCACTCACCCCTTTCTTATCTTGGTGGAAGGGCATACGCAAACTTCACCTCTCCACATCACCTGCGAGTCATTAGCTGAACCCACATCGTCCCAAGTCTTTTCGAACGGATCTTGGGCTTCAGCAAACGCCCGCAGACGACCTTCGAGAACGCTCACAGAGGACGCCTCGACAAGACACTGTAGGTGCAACGGCCACCGGCATGTGTGACTTCCGACTTTCGGGAAGCACATGAATACCTGCTTCGATGACTTCCTATGAGGAGGCTTGAATGTTTGCTCCTGAACGCGAGGTGTCAACACCTGTACAATATGCATTCCTGTCCGTTGGACTTGCTACAGACGACTTGACAGAAATCGAACAGTGCCTGAAGACCAATCAGCTTGCTCTCAGATTTCACGAGTGCCTGCAAGGTTCAGGAGCCCAGCAGCCACGTTTTGCTATCGGTCCCCCAGCACATGTGGAACGGGTGCAACAACGGTTGTGAGAACAGCTGCTGTGCTTGCGCCAGCAACTGCGAGGACGGTTCGGACCTGTTTCGACGAGCCTGCAGGTTTAGGGGCAAGGCCAGCGAACGGAATGCTTGAAGGTTCGATGAACCGCAAGGCCCTAGAACTTTCTTCTACTGTTGAAGACTACTGTTGAAGAGGCGCAGCTTTCATGTGCTTTCCGTGCTATTCCATGCTGGAGAGGCACGAACTCTTAGCTTGGTCAAGTGCTCCACACCTGCTCCATGTTGTACGAATCCATCGCTTGCTTCTGCAGTGTCTCGGCCAGGCGAGCTACCATCCCCACCTCAGCGACTCAGCGCACATGACATCAGGTCAGCCCCCTCTTCTTCCAAGACAATAAGCGAGCACTCGCTCCGGTGCTCCCTAGGCTAGAAGCCGGTCGAGATCCCAAAGCCGACTCAGTTAGACAATGCCTGGCAAGTCCACTGAAACCAGGCCGGTCATCCTCGACCCTGAATGATGTTGTAGGCTGCTCTGGGCACAGGCCTCAACCCGGAAGCAAGACTTCTGCGACAAACTTTCTGCACAAGAACCCTGCAAATTTTCGTAGTGAACTCTGTTCCCGAAAGCCTCGGGCTACCTCTGACACCATAATTGAGAATGAGAGCTCACTCGGGCGCACACCGCCTGTTCTGTTTGCTCCTTGCAGCACTCGACCTTTTCCCATGGCTTGCGCTTTTGTTTGAGCTTCTGCCAGAACGGAGGCAAACCTTCTCTCAAGGACCTGCTCCAGGGAGCTATCCACCCTCCGTGACATGGACTGAACCTGCCACGACTCGTTCACATTGGATGCAATTTTTTTCGACACCTGTGCTACTCGTTGGTGTGGCAGGCGCACGCTCCCCCCTACCAAGCAACTCTCCTAAACACTGTTTAAGAGCACATCCATCAGACTCGGTATTTACAGTACTGTCGTGTCCAAATACCAACGATGATGATGATGACGATGATGATGGGTTTAGGCGCCAGGGGGATGGCTTGTAGTAGTAGTCGTAGTAAAAGTTACTACTGCAACAACCGCAGCAACATTTACTACTGCCACCACCACTACTACTACTACTACTGCTGCTGCTGCTACTACTACTACTACTACTACTACTGCTACTACTACTAGTACTACTACTCCTAATACTACTACTACTACTACTACTCCTCCTCCTCCTCCTCCTCCTCATCCTGCTGCTGCTGCTGCTACTACTTCTACTACTACTGCTGCTGCTACTACTACTACTACGACGACTACTACCACTACCACTACCACTACCACTACCACTACCACTACC